CTTCATTTAAGGCAGCTTTCCTGGGATCTCAATCCTCTTTTTTGACAGACCATATAAAGGCCAATAATTTACATTCAAATGCACAACAACAGAAAGTACAAACGTAAAACATGGTTTAAAAGCAGGCCTAGGACATGAGTTGTTACCCAAACGCCAGTCTAAACAGGTGTGTTTTGAGCTGATTTTTGAATGAGTTCACAGAAACAGCAAACCGTAGGGGTGCAGGCAGATCATCCCACAACCTTGGTGCTACTGCCTCAAAGGCTCGGTCACCACGGGTCTTAAGGTGAGTGCCTGGGACAGACAGATAATTTGACATGTTTGACTTGAGAGCGCGGGCCGGTGAATATGGGTGACCGTGTAGTGCTCTGTAAGTGAGAGTGAGAATTTTAAAGTGGATCCTAAATGCTACAGGGAGCCAGTGAAGAGATCGGAGTATGGGGGTGATGTGAGACCGTCGATTTGTCCTGGTGAGCAATCTGGCGGCAGCATTTTGGATTACCTGCAAATGGTTGAGAGCAGATACACTGATTGACGAGAAAAGTGTGTTACAGTAGTCAATGCATGAAGAGATGAAGGCGTGTATAATCATCTCTAGTACTTACTGATACTTCTTAGGTGGAAGAAACATGATCTGGACAGCTGCTTAACATGGGGGTCAAACGACATGGATCGATCAAAAATAACCCCTGGATTGCGGAGGTGGAAATGGGCAGCAGAGGAGAGTGGACCAATACTCGGCTTGATCGTTGGGACAAATTCATCTGGTGCAATAACTACAACCTCCGTCTTGGTGCCGTTAAGTTTGAAGCAGTTTTCTGCCATCTCTAATAGGATTGACACAGTCCAGGAGCCTAGTTAATGCAAAAGCCTCACTGGGTTTGAATGACAGATGGAGTTGTATGTCATCTGCATATAAATGATAGGACACATTATGATTTTTTATAATCGGTCCCAAAGGCAACAAATATAGGGAAAATAACAGAGGCCCCAGAACCGAGCTCTGCGGTACACCACAAGACAGTGGAGAGGTGACAGACACAAAATCACCCACAGGGACAGTAAAACTTCTGTCAGCGAGGTAAGATGTAAACCAGTCTAACCTTTTGCCAGATATGCCCACCCAGTCACGTAGCCTCATAATCAAGATGTTATGCTCTACATTGTTGAATGCAGAACTGAGGTCCAGAAGTACTAACGCAGAGCAGTCACCTGCATCAGAAGACATTAGAATGTCATTTGAAACCCTCAGGACAGCGGTTTTAGTAGATTGTTGTTTACGAAACCCACACTGGAATTTGTCATACATGTTGTGCTGCAGGGATGATTTTGTATTTTTGTAGGTAAACCCCGGAAGTTAACCCTGGTTCTCTTGACAAAAAGCCAATGGGATTTTTCTGTTGGATTTGGGATTTTAGAAGAAAATAAGCACTGTGGTAAACAAAAGTTTATGATACTTACACGTTTGTTAGGCAAGATCTTACAAGATTATTTATTGTCATTGTACAATGAAACAGGGTTTCGTACTCCCATTTTACTATATAATAATTTAAAAAAGCTACGTTATATGTGGAGGATATAGGCTGAATTTATGAGTCTCATCCTGAAGAAAGAAGCTGATCTGAAGTCTGGTGGTACAACAGCTTGTTTATTAACATCTTTTGGGCTCTTTACAGGCACCTCTTGTCCCCAATATCCCTGAAGCTTGGTAGATGATGATCCGGGCAGTTTTAATCACCTGCTCTAGAACAAAACGTTAAAATCTCTTAAGTTTGTGTGAACCACAGACCTTATTTCATGGATATTTATTTTAATATTCTCTCTTTGGAGCAAAGAGTTATCTTTCTTGAAGTTCTGTTTTCTCTCTCTTCCCTAAATGATCATTTTTAAATTCAACTCAAAAGAACAGCTAATATGGTGGAATAGCAAAAAGGGAAGGAAGCAACCATTTCACAGTCCTGCTACAGAATCAATACATGTCTGTATGTGATGCACTATAAAAATCAAACCTATATTCTTTGTGATAAATTAGGATTACAAGAATATAGAAAAATATGAAGATCAACAAATTTATTTAACTTCAGCCTGTAGCTGTGATTGCATCCTGTTGTTTTGTTTCTTGTCTGTTATGTTTTAATTTCAAGTCAGGTCTAATTCTAGTTTTCACATCCAAAATGTCTGATCCTGAGTTCAGTCCTTTAAAATATAAATAGTGAATTAACTTCATGTGCCTGGTGGGGCATGTCTGTATTTGTCCTCAACTGACCTGTATTGTTGTCTCATCTGTGTTGTCTGATTGGACGTTGGCCTGTTTCTACATGTAATCCTCTGTGTGTTTGGAGTGGTGGTGGAGCTCTGTACGTGGCTGCTTCTGCAGTTTTCACACACACGGTTGTTGTATAACCAAATGACAACCATAACCGTTTTCATTTAGCAGATCTTATACTCCCCATGTTCTTTCCGGACTGCCAGTTTTATTTTGGCTTGATTTACAGTTTGAAACAGTTTAGTTCTCTATTGTTTTATTGCCATGCTGTTGGTAATGATGCATGGCGAGTATATACTGTATATATATATCCCATTTAATCCTTTGACAATGTTCCATCTAGATATTGTTCATTTTGCAATGTTTAATCTGTTACATTCTTAAATGTTGCTATATTTAAAAAAAAAATATTTCCTATACTTTGCACCACTGAAAGATTTCCACGAAGTAGAAAACAAACTGAAAATGTGTTCCAAATATGAAACCTTGAACATTCATCAAACTACTTTAAAACGGTGCACTCCTGACCTCTAGTGGCTGAAGTCAGTGTAACATGCTATCACATAACACACCCTCTACATGTTTGAACTCACTCAGTTAATATATTGACATTATTAGTTAAAGATTCCACTTTTAGAAAATAATCGCAGTAGAAAAGGCTTCGGATATTTTCAGTCATTATAGTGACACATGGACGGTAGGACAAAGCAGGAGGAGCCTCCTAAAGCCTCCTACTTCTGTCATGGAGTCATTATAACGGCCTCAATAGGAAGAAGGATTTAATAATACAAATATTAACTACACAAAATACTTTATACTTATTATTTTGTATATTCTATGTTAATCTAAGGTTCTTGTCCACATTTGTGAAAATAAATAATTTTGCAATTTATATTTGTTTTATTTTTTTGGAAATTGTTGCGACTGAGAATGGTTAGCATTCCTTTTTTAGTTTTTCAAAGAAAAGTGTAGAAGGTACCAATGAGTTGAAAGGCTTACATTACCACACGCTAAAAAGAAATGAAAGAGTTAAAACTTATCTACACACTGAAAATAAATCAGAAAGTTCAAATGGATCTACACACTGAAAACAAACAAATGAGCTCAGTTAAATACATTTAAGATTCAAAACATATCTACAGACAAAAAAGAAATGAAAGAGTTCAAACTCCAGTCAGACTGGTTCAGCTTCACCCTTTAGATGTATACAGCAGTTAGAGATACATTTGATTGATCACATCCAAAGTGTATTCTGTTACTGCTCTGCTTGTACTGTGAAAGGGGAACACTAGTTAGTATGATGACTTAATGATTACTATACATAATACTATAACTCTATCATATACACTGGCATAAATGTGCAATGTTACTCTTTTGAGGTGAGTAATGGACTGCATTATACTTGTAAATGTAATAATTCACATTAAAGTATAGATGGAACGTGAACAGAGCACCATGCCTTCAGTCTGGTCTGACTAACATTAGAGGAATAGAATAGAAGAAATAACAACTCAGGTCAGGTTTAAATGATTTGTAATGAGTTTCCTAGTAACAGCAGGAGCCACTGCAGCACATCCCATAATCACCTAATTAACTAATTAGTGCCATATGGTGGACATTTAAGAGCTGCAGGGTTTCCCACGGTGTTATATTGAGGCAGTGGGCCACCTCATGTGAATCCTAGACCAACCACTGTCAACATGATAGAAATAACAACACTTTGGGATTTCAATGACCCACATTTCATGTGTGTGGCTTTTGTTTCGACCACCAAAGACTGACTCAACTCCGCCAAACAATTTCCTGGTGAACCTGCAGGTGTCCAGTCTGGAAATCAGTCACTGGCCTCTGAACTAGCAGTGAAACATCAAACTCATTGCTCACGGACCGGGGCAGCACCAAACACACAGTCAGCAGAACAATACTCCTTCGTCCATGCAGCCCCTGAAGACCTGCAGACAGTCAATGTGTCAGCTGACTGCAGGACAGATGTTACTGCTGCTCCAAGAGAGGGACACGGCCCAATAAGAGGAATTAGAGGCAACACCATACCTCAACAACTCGGGGCTATGATGTAAGTGGCTGCCATAGCAACACTGAGGAGGAAGTTAAACTGGATGTGTGGGGATGCGGCTGAATCTCCTGTGCAGGCAGACATCTAGTCCTGGGTAACGTGTGGCACCTGATTGTGAGCTGAGATGTCCGTCTGTTCCACTCTTCCTCAGAGACTTCAGTCAAACAAACACAGGACTTTCACCAAGGTGTTCATGTTTGCCACAATGATTATTTTCTGCAATAATCAAAAATCCCATTGCGCTTTTTGTGGAGGGAACCAGTACGATGCCAACTTGTTGTCCCAGTGTCACAAACATGACGTGACAGTTTTCTGCCACATGTGGTTTTGAGTGCTAATATTCCTTTAGCCCTACATTGATGTTTTATAACGTACATATATTCACAGGTGGTATGGACAATTACAACTATCAGGTATCAATGCACTACACTATAAACTAAGGATAATGTTTAGAATCATTTTTCAAGCCAAAATGTACAACACATCGTGCAGGATACATTGCTTTATTATACTGAGCTCGGACACTGATTTAAAACAAACAAACAACAGACTTCTTACAAAGGTGGTACAACAAACAGTGGGTGACACAAGCCTCCAAACACTTTCCCAACCTTACACAGTCAGAGTGAACACCACCACGACTTACACCATGGATGACAGGATCACTGGCGCTGTTCACCTCTGGCCATAGAAATGTCCACTGCCATCAAAAAACAGTGGCATGTCATAGCGTGTCACAGCCACAGACCCTGCCCTTAAAGGACACCTGGACAACCCGCCATGGATCACTTTCAAAAGACCCCCAAACCTCAGAGTCCTGTGGAACCAGGCGATTACCAACTGTGAAACCTCACTTGCAAGACCTTCCATTACCATGACTAATAGAGCCCTGTGGCCAACCACTTCAATCTAATGAACCACACTGGAGCCTCTCAGTTGTACTGGAATATAAATTGTCCAACTGCTCCAGAGGGGAGAGATATTTATTTATCTTGAAACATGAACTATTCTGGATCTATGCTCTGGACCAGACAATCCCAATCTTCCATAGTCTTTTCTTCAAGATGTAGATCTGCAGCACACCTTTGAGCTGTTGGCCTTCAGACTGCAGACAGCATGGAGGCTGCTGTATGGTTGCGGTCACTGCTGGTTGGTTCCTGCTCCGCTGCTTCTCAGCTGGACAGCTTTTTTCTGCTGACTTGACTTACTCCTTTTTTTTATAGCTCAGTGATTGAAGCCCAGCAGACCCTAAAGGTCACAAGGACCCTTGACCCCTGGCTAGGAATATAATGAAACCATGTTTTCCTCCTCTACATTAAGGTGCTGGCATCATTAACATGGACCATCTCACGAGAACATCTATGGAAACACTTGATGGCATCACTTACATCAGTTTCTCCACTGAGGGCCTCAATGGGGACATGGACATCCACCCTTTATTGCGAATCCCTAAACCCACTACTTGTCACTTATATCCTTTGTGTATTACTTGTGATGTGTATGGGCTGTTGGTCTCTGGCTGTAAATATTGCACCTTGTATATAATATCTATAAACAGATAGCATAGTCTGATAATGACTTAGTTTTCTATTGGTTTAAAATGAGCTTGTCAACTTTCTACTCAAGTTTTTAATGAGACTGTAAACAACGAGCAGCATGTGTTGGCCTGATGCCTGCTAGCTGCACCCAAACTGGACTGATTGGCAATTTAAAGTACTTTAGTTATTTATGGGAAATAAAAAATCTTCTGCAGTTATTCCCTCCAACATGATGCGGATAACGTTATCTTGTATCTTGTCTTGGGCCCAGTGCACATTTATAACCATTTGAGTTTATTATCAGTCAATTCAAGTTTGACATTTATTAAAGGATACAATGGTTAATACTGCAACACATATTCTGTCCATTTGCACTTTTTAAAGAGCAAAAATGAACAGCTAGCCCAGGCCTGTATGGAAACTAAAAATGATCTGGCATCAAAATACATTTGGCTGAAAACGTTCTTAGCCATAGCCCGATGGTGGTATCCATATTTCTAATTCAATATATTTTTGACATGTTCCCTGGTCTGAGTTTAATACTGTAAGCACTGTGCTCACATAGATGTGTCATGTGCAAATGTAAAGTAAAAAAAAGTTTGACAGTTTAAACTATCCGTTAGCTGGCAAACTTAATGTTAGCTTAGCTTTAATGCTAGATGTAACTGACACCAGCTGGCACAAATTAGGTCAACAAGGTCTAAAAAACACACAAAGGAGAACATAATAAACAAACAAACATGGCCACCCACTGTTGCTCCATGTTGCATCTGGATAAAGTCTGAGTGGTAAATCACTCTCAATGTTTTCTGAAGTCGGTTATAATCAACCAGCAGGTGGCGCTTGAGAACAGCAATACTGTAGTGGAGCCCTCAACCACCCTGCATCCATAACATACTGTATGTATGTATTTGACCTGTCCTTTGTGGGTCTTCTTGAGAGAAAAGACGGCACAGGAGACAACCTTTCTCCAAGGCTTTTATTAAAAGATAAACAATAATACATTGTGTTAAAAAATATTTACAAAGTATTGTTGACATTATCAGGGAATTATTTCAGGGAATAAAAAGAGACGCCATCTAATGCTGGAATATGACAAGGACATTACAATAAAAGAGCGTAAATATACTATGAAGAAGTTGATTAGACAGACCACCTGTATGAGGAGAAGAGAGGGGAATACCATCATGCAACCTTCAATGAGTCCGCTATAAAGTCACTCTGAACTACCTCACACCGTCTACTAAACCTAACATGAATGCTAGGGACGTTTTTTCTTGACACGTCCCGTCAGAAACAGAGGGACAGGTGAATTTGGATTCCGGTAACCATAGTGAGCCATAAAACATGTGTCAAGTCAACCAGACTTTGCTCTCACTCCACCAGGGCTTGCGAGGTTTCACTTTCAAAATAAAAGCGCTAGTCTTATCACGTATCCCAATTCAGCATAACTTTGTTAGTGTGTGTCTTATTTTGAAACATTTACCCCGAAATGGTGGTGTCAAACAGGCCACTTTGACTACTCCCCCGCCGGAGAAACTGCTGTCGTTGACTTAACGAAAGAAACTTCACAGTCGCTCGGCAAGTTTGCTTTCGGGAGTATCGGACAGAACGTTACTCCTGTCTGTGTTATGTAACGGTCCGCTTTTATCTGCCGACGTGACCAGGTGATACAGCTAGTTTGGGCCTGTCCAGTTAACGTTGGGCTAGTTATCGTTAACGTTACACCAAACCTTGCAATGCATATGCTAGCGTCAAACGGATCCGTAATGGACTTGGACTCGGTGTTGGTGAAAATTAAAGCACATTACTGCGGGTGAGTACGCTATTTGACAATAAGGAAACAGTGACGTTAGCCGGCGTTAACGAGGAGAAGGGAAACACCTGTGGAGTATCTGCTGGTGTGTGGGGTCCTGAGATCAAGCTAGGTCAGTCAGACATGGTTACCTGACCAATGTCACACTCACCTGGGCACAGTCACAATAATAAGAATTCAAGTAATGCCACCAGTTTACTACAAAAAAAGATATGATATAAGCATTGGTGGTAAAGTCTCTCGGTGTGTTATTTTAGGTTTTGTAGTAACGAGGATGCTGGTCTGGGCCCCAATCACTTATGTCATCAAAGAGTAACTGCACACTTTGATATGTGTTTGAAGCCATAAACGAAATAATATGACAGTACTTTGATAAAATGCATCAATGCTGGCGTTATATCAACAATAACTAACAAAGGTATGTATATAACCTTGCAGTGGCAAGTGTGAGATAGTGGACCGGTGAGGACTAATCTATGTCCTGACATAACAGCATGTGAACGCCCTCTAGTCACCTTGTTGGTGAATGGTAGTTGCCAGATGTAGCATCAACGTTAGTGTGTTGCTGAGACAGAGAAGGATCTAGAACACAGTTAAGTAGAAATGCAAGTATCCCTTCTATTTGATATTTAAAGAACTGTGACCAAGATATGGAGTGAGTGGTTGTAAACATTAAGTCATCAGTGTTCTCCGGTGGACAAGTAATGGAGACCCAGTTTCCCAATGATGCATTCCTGTACTGCCATTGCTTGTTAAAAATGAGATACGGATATATCTGTGCCACGCTGATATGGGGCTCATGGGACCACACCTATAGTCATGTTACTCAATAAATGAATTTAATGTTGAATAAAATATATGATCTATTACTCCCTGAAGATCAACTCATTTACCAATCTTTTCAGAACTGGTTAGTTGACATTGTCATGCCACTAAGTGCATGAATGGATGATGTTGTGGAATACCTTCTGGATCCATGCTGGCCTTGTCACTGCCATCTAATGATTCAGAGATCAGAAAAGGTTCAACAATGAAAAGCCCCCTTGTTCATTTGTTCAGTAATCAAGTTACCATGCTTAAAGGACCTCATAACTCCAAATAACATTGTGGGGACTTGTGCTCTGCTCTTTGACACTTAGGTATTCCTATACTTTTACATCTTTTAATTGGCAGAAAGAAGTTTCAAAGCACAGAGCAGCCTCTGGTTCTGTAAAGGGAAGCTGAAGTGTCTTAAAGCTGCATTCTATCTACTGTCCACCAGGGGGCGACTCCTCTGGTTGTATAGAAGTCTATGAGAAAATGACTCTACTTCTCTCTTGATTTATTACCTCAGTAAACATTGTAAACATGAGTTTATGGTCTCAATCTCTAGTTTCAAGTCTTCTTCAATACAGCATGATGTTCATTTAGTAAATTCTGGTCCATTTAGAGTCAAACAGACCATAAAGCAGGGGATGCTTTAGGGTTGACAGGTCTCTACCATGGCGTTGTGAGGTCTGGGAGCTGTCCGTGGTTTTGTCTTAGGTCTTTAACCCTTTCACAGTGTGCTTTTAGTTCATGAAAGTTATTTGTAACATTTTGGTCGCCTAAAAATGTCTTCAGCTTTCTGTTGTACTTAGCTCCACCCTCTATTCACTTCTGGTTCCAAAGAAACAAGATAGTGACGGCCAAAATCCAGATCTCCAGGCTTCTAAACAGTAGAGCGGGCGCCACATATACTAAGGCTGAGTCCTTACTGTAGCGGCCCGGGTTCTAACCCGTGGCCCTTGGCTGCATGTGGTGCCCCCTCTGTCTCCCTCTTTCCTGTCTTCAACTGTACCTGCATAAAGGCAAAACAACAACAAAACAACAACAACAATCAATAATGGGTGACGTCATGGTGACCAATACGGCGGTTCGATCACCTGGGTTCTCCAGTCCATGTCAAAGTACCCTTGGGCAAGACACTTAAACCCAATTTGCTCCTGATGTGCAGGTGGCATGGTAGCCTCTGTGATTAGAGTATGAATGGGTGTGAATGATGACATGTAGTGTTAAAGAGCTTTGAGTGGTCAGAAGAAAGGCGCTACACAAGTACAGTCCATTTATTCAGATTGATGAACACTAGGCAGTAAGAGGCCAATGGTCACGTGACCGACACACATCATCAACTGTTGTTGTTTCCTTCATTGTTGACATGTTGCTGCTTCTAAACTCTAATCCAGTCAGTTTTTATATAATCTTCAATGATGTGGTATGCTGAATTTGCATTCAAGTCCTTTTGACCTGTTTGTCACAGGTTGCTGTGCAGACAGTGCAGTTCCTGGTCACTATGAAAAGTTCTGCAGTCAATGTTTTTTAAGTGTTTTGTGTTTGGGAAGAAGGGCTGATACAGTACAATACAACAACCAGTACTTTTTCAGTCTTACTGAATGTACAGTATACTCTGTATTTATAGCTTTTAACAAAATTAGCCAAACCTCTCAAATGTCAACTGTCTAAATACAAGGAGCCTTACAAGAACTTTATAAATGTAATAAAATCCATTTTGATTGAAATCAGAAAGAATCTGATCAAAGAATAAGTGAACAAGATTATGAAGGGGACCAGACATTCATTGCTGCAGTTTTGATACTTTGTGCTACAGACACATTTCAGTGGTCACTGGAAGGAAACATGGAATTGAGATTTAATACCCAGCCTTATTGAGAAAAGAGGACTTATGACTGAGACTAGACGATGCTATCTCTCACACACACACACACACACACACACACACACACACACACACACACACGTATTTTTTACATGTAGCAGATTGGTTCAAACTGATTTTCACATGTATTCATTTCTCCATGTGTTTCATAGGGCAGAGTAAAATAGCTCAGTATGTTTCCACTAACAGAGTGAACAGAACAATGGAGAGACATTGTAACAGCTGCTGACCAAACACTGGCCAAAGTAAAGATAAAAGAGTAGTAAACAGGCTACGGAAGACTTGAGTGTTTCCACAACACAACGTTCTTGGAGAATCTTTCTCCTGACCACATTCTGCCATGATGACTCACACACAGACTCACAAGGTGAAACAGCCACATGTCGCGGATGGTAACAAGAGATTGCCAAGAGCCTATTATTCTAAAGGTAATGTGTTTAGTTGTTGTGTACCATTGGAAGTAAAGATCACGATCAATCCCTACAGTGTGTTGTCTGGAAATCTGACTTGCTATGAACCCTGGGGTCGACCTTAACTGTATACTGTTGTATAGACACTTTAGCTTTAGGTGCCTGTCTGTTGTCATCAGTCTATGAGGTCCAGCATGCTAAACACAGCTTGCCATCCACGGCTGCATTCATTTCACGTCTTCGGCCCAAATTCTGTCGGTCAATTACCTCCATTCTGTTCAATGGAGTTTCCCAAAATACGGTTAAAAGTGAAAACTGTAATGTGTTGTACTGTAGTATTTGGAAACCAGTAATACACAATGCATGTTGCCATCATACCATACCACCACACAGTGACCATTGTACAGTGTTTGAGCTACAGGTGATTAGAGGGAACAAAGATCAACATGGTGATTAGGTGGCTTTATGTTCTTGAACATGGCCGATCCCTCAGTGTGCTGAGCACTCTGGAGTTTCAAGAGCAAACAGTGCAAGGGTCAGCCATACTGCCTCTAGTCCCACTCAGAGATTTCTCCTCATGCATTGGGCTTCAATAGGTTTGGTTTTCAAAAAACGTAATATGTCTACAAGGAGGACAGAGGAAAGATGCAGTAGGAGACACTTGTAGCACATCATACATGTTTTTAATTATATTATAATGTTCACTAAGGTTTAGTCAAGAAGTTCTGGAAGATGGGTACCTGATAACATGTCACGGTAAATATATGGTATCATTAACCATACTCATACAGACCATGCAGATCACATCAGAGTCAACCCAACCAGGGCTGACTCTGATGTGATTGGACTACAAGACAAATGTTGGATTCATGTGATTTATATATTGCCCAATCTCTATATAGGCGGAACTTTGCTGAGCGTGTGTGTGTGTGTGTGTGTGTGTGTGTCTGTGCGTGTGTGGGTTTGTGTGACATCGTTCCACATTGACTTGTGTGGGTTTTGGCTGTGTGGAGCAATGCCTGCTGGGAAGCAAGCTATCTTTGCTCCACCTTGTCAGAGTCCAACTAACACTCGCCATAAAGTGCCACACACACACACACACACCCATATATGTGTATATATATGTATGTATATGTATGTGTTTGTGGGTTTGTGTGACATCGTTCCACATTGACTTGTGTGGATTCTGGCAATGTGGAGCAAAGATAGCTTGCTTCCCAGCAGGCATTGCTCCACACAGCCAAAACCCACACAAGTCAATGTGGAACGATGTCACACAAACCCACACACGCACAGACACACACACACACACACACACACACACGCTCAGCAAAGTTCCGCCT